CTATAAAAGTCTCCGGTGTATTCTTCTTTATGGCTGATTAGTACTCCGTTATTAAAAAAAAAAAAACACATCTTTTTATCCATTCCTTGATTGATAGGCATTTGGATTATTTCCAAGATTTAGCTATTACAAATTGTGCTGCTGTAAACATAGGTACTCATATATTGTAGTGGTATGATGTTTTGAATTCTTCTGGGAAAATACTCAGAATAAGAATAGCTGGGTTGAACGGGGCCTCCAATCCTAGTTTTTGAGGAAATCCACACTGATTTCCCCCGTGGTTGCATGAGTCTGTATTCCCACCAACAGTGGAAGAAGGTTCCTTTTTTTCCCAGAAGCTCTTTAGCATTTGTTATTGGTTGATTTCTTGATGATAGCCATTCTTTCTAGGATGAGATGGAATCTCAGTGTTGTTTTAATTTGTGTTTCTCAGATGACGAATGATGTTGAACATTTTTTCATATATATATTCACCATTTGTGTTTCTTCATCTGAGAAGGGTGTATTCAACTCAGACACCCATTTTTAGATTGGGTCTTTGAATTTGAGGAATCTGATTTTTAAAAATTTATTGTATGTTCTAGATATAAGTCCTTTGTCTGAGGGATAACTGACTAAATCTTTTCCCCCTACTCTGTAGGCTATGGTGCTGTGCAAACGCTTTTTACTAGTTGAGATCCCATTTGTTGTCTTTGTAATATTTCCCTTACTGTCTAGGTTTTGTTCATGAAGTCTCTGCCTACACCTATGTCTTTTTAGATTTCTACCTATTTTCTCTTCCAGTAAATTTAGTGTTTCTGATTTATTTATTTTTCGGTTCTGGGATTGAATTCTGAACCTTGCACTTGCCAGGCAAGTACTTATTCTATTGAGCTATTGCCTTGGCCTGGTGTTTCTGTTTTAAAATTTAGATGTTTAATGTATTTTGACTTTAGTACATGGTGATAGACATAGGTCTAGTTTTAGTCTTTGGCATATGGAGAGCCAGTTTTTCCAGCACTATTTATTAGGGAGGCCATCTTTCTCCCAGCGAGCAGGTTTGGCTCCTTTTTTCAAGATAAGGTGGCTGACTGTTTTTGAGGTTGCATCAGTAGCTTCTAATCTGTTCCTCAGGCCTGTGTTTTTTTTTTTTTTTTTTCTGCCAATGATATACTGATTTTATGACAGTAGCTTTGTAGTATAGTTTTATGTCTGGAATTGTGGTACCCTATGACTTGCTTGGTTGCCTGCTTTTGCTCTTCTGTGTCTTTTCTGGTTCTAAATGAATTTTAACAATGTTTTCTTAGATCTATGAGATATGATAATGGAATTAGGGTTGGGATTGCATTAAATCTGTGTACAAGTCTTGGGAGTAGGGACATTTTCACTATGCTGATTCTTCCCCTATTCATGAGCAAGGGATATCTTTCTGTTTTTTGATATCCTCTTCAGTCTCCTTTTTGGGAGATCTCTCTTTATAATTTTCACTGTATAGATGTTTTATGTCCTTTGTTAGATTGATTCCTACATAGTTCGTTTTTTAAGATGCTATTGTAAAGGGTATGCTTTCCCTAATGTTTCTCTATGAGTTTGTACAGAAATGCTACTGAGTTTTTGAGTGTTGACTTTGTATCCTGCCACACTACTGAATTTGGATATTAAATCTACAAGATTTTTGGTGGCTTTCAATTTTTTTTTTTGGCAGAACCGGGGATTGAACTCAGGCCCTTGTGCTTGCCAGGGAAGCGTTTATTCTACTGAGCCATCTCACTGGCCCCTGGCTTTCAGTTTTTGTCTATTTAGTATGATGTCAGCTGTTGGCTTATCATAGATAGCTTTTATCAGATTGTGATAAAGACCATCCAATTTTCTGTAGGGCTTTTATCATGAATATGTGTTAGACTTTGTCAAATGCCTTTTCTGCATCTACTGAGATGATCATGTAATTTTTGTCTTTGTCTTTCAATATGGTATATTGCACTTGTTGATTTGAATATGTTGAACCATCCCTGCATCCTTGGGGTGAATTCTGTTCCATCATGGTATATGATCTTTATGATTTTCTGTATTGTTTGCCAGTAGCTTATTGAGGATTTTTGCATCTGTGTTCATTAGAGAGATTGGCCTGTAGTTTTCTTTTTTGTTTGTGTTCTTCTCTGGTTTTAGAATCAGGGTAATACTTACTTTCAGGAATTATTTTTGAAGTAGTGCCTCCCTTTGAGTTCCCTTAAAGAGTTCCAGCCTTAGTAGCATTAGTTCACCAAATTCCTTATAAAATTGAGCAGTGAATCAATCAGGGTTTGGGCTTTTCTTTATTGGTAAATTTTTAATTATACTTTCAATTTCATTCTTTGATGTTGGGTTGTTTAGAGTGTTTGTATCTTTTTGACTTAGTTTTGGCAATTTGATTATGCTTCTTTTCTGATTGTGGCTGGTAAATTCATAAACCATTTTCAAGACATGCTTGGATTTTTTTACCAATTTTTTCTTCTACTCTAATAATGTACTATCCCATTCATATGCTTACATTATTCTGATTTAACTTAAGTGCATATGCATGTGCTCTACTGTACCTGATTGCTTATACAGTATGATTATTACTTCTGCTTTAGAGATCATGACTTTTAGTGCAATATTTGGAACACATCACTAAAAATGCTTAAGCAAATGACTAAACAGGCAGGTGGATACCAAAGGCAAGCAGCCCTGGATCTTTCATGAAGAGAGCTTGAGGTATTTATTTATTTTAATGGCAATATTGATGGCATCTTTATGAAGTTCCACTAAACAAAAGTCATCATTTGGCTAGAGAGAAATAATTTTCCTGACCTACTCTTATTTAAAGGTCTGTTTACTCCATTCCTGTTAATATCCCTCCTAGATATAGGCTGCTATATATTATGTTGAATTAATTATGTTGAACTAGATGAAATTACCAATGCTCAGCCTTTCAGTTTCATATGACTGAAGCTATGGAACTAGTGGCAGGGAACTACTGGGCCTCATGCCTCTGTCCTCCTTAGATGAGACCAAAACGGAACCTGGCCTGACTTGGGCGGATTTCCAAATTAGTGGAATCAACAGGGTTTGCTGAAGGCAGGCCAGAGTGATGAGATGGTGAGGGTAGAGCGCGAGGAAGCTGAGCAGATGCAAAGTGGAGGCCTTAGTGCATTCGGGCTGCTAAAGCAGAATACGGTAGACCAGTGACTTATAAATAGAAATGTAGTTCGCACAGTTCTGGAAGCTGGAGGTGGAGATAGAGATGCAGCAGGGTCAGCCCTGGTGAAGGCTGTCTTCTGGGTTACTAGGCTGCCTTTTTGCTTCCTCTCATGGCAAAGAGTGAGCAGAAGAGCGGAACAGGCCCCTGAGAACTCACAAGGTCACTAATCCCCTCGCAGGGAGCCCTGCTCTCCAGATGTTGCCTAATCCAAATTATTTTAAAGTGGCCCTGCCTCTTAATACCACCACATTTAGGATAGAGATTTGTATTAGTCACCTTTCTTGCTACTGAAATAAAATTTTTGACTTTTATAACCTGGAGGAGAGGGTTATTTGGCTCCTGGTGGATTTGAGTCTGTGTCCTGCTGCCTCCAAGCCAGGAACATCATGGTGACAGGGTATGGTAGAGCAAGGCTCACTCTGTGGCAGCCTCCAAGCAGAGCAGAGCAGAGCACCCTGGAGGGATAGAAGCACAGCTCTGTGCTCCATGCCCTGGGCCCACTTCCAGCAGCAATTCGGCTTTGAACACCACAGGATCAATCTGTTGATGAGAATAATGGGCCCGTTATCCCTCTGCTTTCCCAGGAGCCAGACAATTAAGATTCATTGGCACAAGTTTCAGTCCATAAATTTTAGGGAGGGACACAAACATTCAGCTCAGAACAGAGGGGCATTAGATACTCAGAATGGGTCTCTTACCTGACTGAGCAGGGTCAGGCTGGTAGACACAGAAAGCAGGCACAGAGGAGCCTGTCTAAAATGTGGGCAGGGAGAGTCTTTGTCAGGGTGTGTGGGATACATGAAGGTCAGTCTCCCCCCACTCCTGTCCCAGCCATAGGTTAGTGCTGGTAAAGGGAGGTCACTGAGCTGTTTGGTGCTCTGTGCTATGGAAGTTCTTTCCCATGGCCATCTTTCTTTGGTTATGTTTTAGAATTTGGTCATTGTTAAGATACTGCTAGTCTGAAGACTTTCTCCTCTCATGGATGACTACACTTCTGTGCATTCGTTTATTATAAAACATATGAATACAAAATTCTCAGTCTTTCTCTCCTTCTAGGTATTTGTTCCCTGACTACATTGTTCACCAACAGGAGTTTGAGGAACTCAAAAGCATTTATTGGTAAACAGTAAATGCTAGTTGGGTCTTCTATCATAGGATGAGATTAAATAGTAAAGGCACCTGAGTCTAAGGATCTAATGATACTGTGATATGGGGTAAATATTAACATTTTGATTATTAAACATATGTGTAACAGGAAGTCTTTTTCAAGACTGTCTTCCTACATATTCTTGCTACATATAAATTACAAAGTATCTTTCCGGGCCTTGGTGAGTTATATTTAAATCCCTGGATGGACAGCAATAGGATTTAGGATGATAGTGTATAGATAAGAGCCTTGTTTAGGGCTGTGCTCAGGATAGGAGGACTTGTTTTAATGTAAATGCACCGTGCTCCTAGAGCAGAGTGCTAGGGACTTAGTGTGAAAGACTCTGGGGAGGACGTGCCCTCTGTGAACCAGGGACTGCGGTGGGGCATTCTCACAGGGGGGTGGATGCCCAGGGGGAGGGGCGCCTGCCGGCCTTCCCACTAGTGGTATTGCTGGTGAGGCGGGGTAGCTCCTGTGCTGGATTGGTCCTGCTGATCTCCATTGCCGAAGGTCCACTTGCTAAAGGGACATAAAGCTTTTGGAATGGCAAATTGATGCAGAGCTTGCACGTGATGCAGAGCAAGTGGGCCTGTGCCTGTGTGCTTCGCCTCGCTGGTGACCACATAGACAGCACCACTGCGCTTCCTGTCTCAGGTTCTCAGAGGCACCGTGACTGACTTTCCTGGATTTGATGATCGGGCTGATGCGGAGACGCTTCGGAAGGCCATGAAAGGCCTGGGTAAGTTCAACCTCCTGTTTGTTCTAATTTTATGGAAGGAATTTGCTACAGTGAGATTACTTTTAGAATAATATGAAATTTGTAGAAAAGACACATTAAGATAACAGAATAATACTCTGGGCATTCCTTGATATTCAGTCTCAGCCATTCACAGACCTCTCATCTGAAGGCTTTCCGTGTGCCACTCAAGTCTGCACGTGGGCTCCTTCTGCAGCAGTGTGCCGTGTTCTCTGGCTTCCCCAGGCCTTTGTGTCATGCCGGCTCCTCCTGCATGTGTCTGGATGTGTCCTCTGATCTGGGCCACCTGCTCGTCTTCCATGCCCTTCATTTTCCAATCTCTGAACTTCCTCCTTTTTTCTAAAAGCCTGTCTTTCTTATATCCCTGCCTCTCATAATCCTTTTATTCTTCAAGACTGTTATGGTTGTCACCTTCTATGTGGAACTGTCCCTCAAACTCCCATCTCCCATCAAGTGGAGACCCTCCTTTGAGCCCCACTTAATACACAGACCTTGCCTGACCCACTTGCCCTTCAGCCTCACCTCATGGATACTGTGTGTTGTATTTTGCACACCTCAGTTATCTTTAATTAGAAGCTGGATTCCCTTCTTTTCTCTTTTCCCAGGGTACTGTAGCACCAGCACGTTATGCCTCATGAATAGCTGTTACTTGTCTATTTTTTTTGCATGGAAAAATAGGAGTGCTCAGTTTTTAAAAAGTAGGGAGTATTTTTTAAAAATAATTTTTATTGAGAAACATAGCAATGAGACAGTTTCAAGACCAATTAGTAGGACAGTTTCAGTAATTAATACATTGCATATTGTTGTCTTTTTGGTGTTAGTCATAGTACAAGATGCAGACATGATATCCTGTCCACAAACACTATTAGTACAAATCATTCTATTCATTGAATTAAGAGAAAGTACCTGTATATCTATCCTATTTTGAATATACAGATACAAAATGGTCCTTCATTTCTATCCCCTTTTTTTGTTTAGTTTTGTCAGAGAAAGGTATTCCATTGTCATTTAAATATTATAGGTGCGTGAATTCAGCAAAATATTCCAATATAGTCCATAATAGTAGTGGGTTTTCCATAAGACTGGCAATGTCAAAAAGTAGGCAGTATTTTTCTTCAAAATATGTTGGGAATGGAGGGTAGTGTATATCAGAAATACAACATTTTATATATTGTCAGTTTTATATGTTGGTTTTAAAAAATATTTTGAATAAATTATTGGGTAAAACAATATATATTTAATATGCTGATAGAAGCAAACAGAATGAGTGGGGAGCTAGCTTTGGGGGTTACTGAGAGTGGCCATGGGGGAGCCAGGTCATAATTGTTAATCATACATCACAGGCACCGATGAGGAGACCATCCTGACTCTGTTAACGTCCCGAAGTAATGCTCAGCGCCAGAAGATTGCCGAGGCCTTTAAGACTCTGTTTGGCAGGGTAAGATCCCACCTCAGGCCCAGGTGCAGTGTGAGCGTAGCTGCTGCTCTAAGAGTTTCCTGCTTTCAGTGAGAGACTGGCTTGAGGACTCTGCAGATATAAAGCGTGCAGGTGTTCAGGTCATCTATAAGAGGATGATGTTACATTATATGCAGATACCCTTAAGTAAAATGACAGGGCATTTGCATATAATGTAACATCATCTCATACTTTATGTCATTTCTGAATTATTGTACCTAATACAATATAGCTGCCCATTTATTTAGGAAATGACACAAATATATGTACCTATTTGGTACAGATGCAGTTTTTTACTCAAATGTCAGTTGAGGTCAGTTGCTTGCAGATGGCCACAGATAAGGAGGAAATATTGTCGTAATTTGTTTTTTGGTAAAGAATATTATTTATTGTTTTTTTATGTTAAAAAGAAAAGAAACACAGAATTTGAAAGCAAGATAACAGGAGAGTAACAGTAACACTGGGCGTTGTTACTGTCGTACCATTTATTCTGGGACTCTCGCCTGTTTTTATTTTCCTCCACGTTGCCAACTGTTGGTATGTAATATCCAGCTGACCTGTCCTCACGGGATTATCTTCCTTGCCCTGTGCTCTGAGGTCTCTGAAGGCCCTGTCTCTGCCTTCTGTGCTCCCCATGAGGCCTTGTTTTGTTCCCCTTTCCACATGTGAGCCCCACTGCAGTGCCTCGCTGTGACCATCTGGGTTCCCTTTGTGCTGATTCTAACAA